TCTTTCTTACTTTGGCAAGAACCCCTTTTACTCAATAAACTTGTCTCGAGCTGAACAAGAGCACGTACCTGGGCTGGGAGGAATAGCACAAAGATTTTTCTTGATTTCTCCCACCCCCATTTATCATACATTGATGATGGATCCCCCACTTCTATAAATATATATGTTTTTGAAACGCATGCAAAAGTTTAAAAGCAGTCGAACACAACAAATACACTTAGCTACACAGCTTACCTTACACACAAATTTATACAAGAGATTGAAAGAGAAGAGAATGACTAGCGCAGGAGTTGCTGGGATGATGTTTCAGTGTGCATTTGAAGGAAGCCTGTCAATGCAGGACACCGAAATTGAGCGAAGGCCATACCATAAGAACTGCACTTGTGCTCTGCACAAGTTTAAGGGGGGTACATGCTCCAACGCTTGTCAAAGGAACATTTCCTTCCCAAAGAAACATTCATGGAGTGATGGTTCCTTGTGCATGCAGGCATCATCAACTTCCAAATTCTCCTCTCTTGTCGGCAACATGTCCATGTCCACTTCCACATCTACAGGAAACAGAGAAAGTGTGAATGGGGAATTCATAATTCGGCCTTGTCACATAGACGGTAGATATGGAGACACCTTTCAAAGTTGCAGATAACGTCTGTCTAACACAATGATGATTACGGGTGAGTTAAAAGAGATTAAAAGGTTAATTAGGAAGTGAGAAGCAATTTTATTTGTGAATAGTTTCTCATGATCTTATTCTTGTCCTTATTTAGTACTTCGATTTTGATTTTGAGGAAAATATTGTGGGTTAGTTTGTTATTTTCTTCTTCCTTCTTCGTCCATGTAAATTCTACAGAGTACATATTCTTGCTGTAATTAAACGTCATTGTCGTCTTTCTTCAATACAACTGAAACTGCATACAACAGACTTATTCAAGTGCCTCAGAGTCTGACTGTTTGAGTTTATAATTGCATCGCAGGAGCCAAGCAAAATGGTTATGTTCTGTTATGTTTTTTATATTTTTTATTTATTTTAAAGTTGCAAAGATCAAATTCATCTCTAAATAGTCTTAGATAGGGCAACAGCTAAAAAAGCAAAGAAAGTTCTTAGCCAATTGAAATACGCGTATGTATTGGACAAAATGCAGGCAGGAGTTATTTGAAGTCTCTAGAGTACTATACACAAATGTAGTCAAAAACAAGAAGAGGAAAACTAGTTCCCTTTTATTTTCTTTCCTTCAAAAACAAGAAGAGATAGAAACAAGAGAAGATGTCAATGAAGAAACAGAGGTAAGTGAAGGTGAAAAGTAAATAACATTCAAACAACTTATCAAATAATTTTTCATTTTCTTTCACAGCTTTCCCTCGCAAAAGTCTTCACGTCTCATTCGTAACATTTTACGTGCATCTTCTGATTACCGACTAAAAAAGAAAAAAGCAAAAAAGAATGAGCAGTCAAACAGGTAAAATGGGCAAGTATCCTCGGACGCACCAATGCATTTTAATTAGTACTCTCTCTGGAGTGTAAATGTGCTGCTAAAACGGACAGAAAGGCAATGTGGAAGTGAAATCCCATTTGTCTCTGTCACAAAACTAAGTGAGAAAACGATGCTCACTTTTATAATCTGCATTTTCCAATTTCAGTAATTCTTCTGCTACAAAGCAGCTCACAGCAACAAAAGATGAAATTGCAAGATTATGCATGTCAGAATAACACAATCTAAACAAACCAAAGCCACATCATGCCATGGATATTGGTGAAGTACTTTGATAGATCATCTATAGCATCTAACTTTGGCTAATCTTCCTCTTTACAAAACCCTCAATTATTTAGCCAAAAATAGAGTGCAGAGAAGTGAAATTCTTATTTGGGTGTGATAAAAGAATAAAATATAAAACTCTCATAGTCAATAAAGCATATAATCAAAGGACAGCAGAAATCTGTGCCAAATACCAAGTACATGACAATACTCCTTTGCAATTTCATTTTAACATCTGCTGTATGTTTAAATAATAATAATCAGCTGGATCTTGTATGAAGCTATAACCTATGCAAAGCTCCTCTAGGACTTGATGCTAAATAATGAAACTAAGGGTATGCAAATATGCAATGCAAAGAAAAATAAACTGTAGTAAAAACCAAAGATTCATCGTCTCAACTCTAAGTGGTTGAATCTAATATAATAATATTGAAAGAGCACAAAACTATGTTAGTTAGGTTTCCACACGATTGATTTGTAGGTCCCTTGTTTTGCATAACGAAAAATGATGCTTGACTCAGACCTATGTTAGTTATTTGCATGGTGTTAACCGCCAAGCATATGCATGCCTTAATAATAAAATGAGCAGCCTTTCTAACTAATTAGCTAAATAACTTCTTCTGCGGATCAGTCTATGCTAACGGCCTGAAACTCAACTAACTAATACTTAATTAGATATCGAAGCCAAGCCGAAAACCAAAAAAGCCAAGCCGAGCTTCTCTCTCTCTCTCTCTCTCTCTATGTGGAAAACACTAGGGTCCTGTCCTGTTCACAAAGCTGAACTGCCCTAGTAGAAAACGCTTGCCTTGCTCTGCTTTCCACTACTAATTAGGCTTGTCTCCAGTGGGAGCAATAGCAGATACTTTCTTGATTTCCCCCACACATAATTTATCATACATTAATCCCCTCTTCTACATAAATGCTTTAGAGGGCATGCAAAAGTTTCAACGCACTCAAACACAACACACAATTGCCGTACAAAACTCACTTAGTTACACTTGCTTACAGGCAGCCTTAACATAAAATACTTTAGAGACTCAGAGAAGAGAAAAGAAAAGAGAATGACTAGCGCAGGAGTTGCTGGGATGATGTTTCAGTGTGTGTTTGAAGGAAGCCTGTCAATGCGGGACACTGAAATTGAGCGAAGGCCTTACCATAAGAACTGCAGTTGTGCTCTGCACAAGTCCAAGGAGGGTGCTTGCTCCAATGCTTGTCAAAGGAACGTTTCCTTTCCCAAGAAACAGTCATGGAGTGATGGTTCCTTGTGCATGCAGGCAGGATCAGCTTCTTCCAAATTCTCTTCTCCTCTCTTAGGCGACATGTCCACGTCCACTTCCGCATCCACAGGAAACAGAGGAAGTGTGAATGGGGTTCATAATTCAGCCTTGTCACATAGACAATAGACAGAGGCTTTCAGACGATTTCTTGATCATACGACTATGATTATGGGTGAGTTAGAAGAGATTAAAAGGTCAATTAGGAAATGAGAAGCAATTTTAATTGTGAATAGCTTCTCATGATCTTATTATTGTCCTTAATTAGTATTCTACCTTCATCATCCATGTAAATTCTACTGTAATTAAACTTTGTCCCATTTCTCTCTTTAATACCACTGAAACTGCATACATGCAAACAGACTTATTCAAGTACCAAAGAGTCTGACAGTCTACTTTTATGTATTGGTGACAGTCTACATTCCACAATTTATACCTGGCTCTAGAAGTCATTTATTTTCTTCCCTTTTGGTAGATAGCTTAGAAGTCATTAGTATTTTCAGCCAAGGAAACTATGTTTTGCTGTTCCTTCTTAAAAACAATCTAGCTTTCCTATCGTTCCGAAAAAATTCTGTGAAGATTATCGTTTATTAGTTTTCCATAGGGCAGCAACAGAAAAGGCATAGAATTTCTTAGGCAGTTCAACTACATATGTGAATGGACCAAATGCAGGCATGAGCTATTTAAATTATCTAGGCCATTGATAATGCTATATGCAAATAGAGGCAAAACTAGAAGAAGAAAAAGAGTTTCCTTTTCTTTTCTGCAAGAATTGCTACCTAGGCTATGCTACAAAGAAGATCAATGGTGGTACTGACGAAAGATACCTTTTTCTCTTTCTCTCAGAGGCATAGATACCATCAAATGGAGAAGGTAGATTCTTCTGATCACTTCGACAAAGTTTTTACCCGCCATCTGTTACAAATATCTCAGAATTAGGAAAAACCATGGATATGGCAGCGCCTGACATCGGGTATAGCCGGTCGGCTATATTACTTTTACGGAAAATTAATAAAATCGCGTCACGCCGAACGGCTATACCTTTTTATTAAAAAATTTAAAAACCGGGTATAGCCGTGCGGCTATACTATTTATATATATATTAAAACAAGGACCCGCCTAGCACCAATGCGCCACGTGTAAAAACAGCAGAGCCGAACGGCTATACGTTTTTGTAAAAAATTGCAAACACGGGTACAGCCGGGCGGCTATACATTTATGAAAAAAAAAAAAAGGAAAAACAAGTAGTCGGCTATACGATTTTTGAAAAAGTTTGGAAAAAATTCGAGTATACTTAAAAAAAAACCGAGTGCAGCTGAACGGGAATACTATTTTGACGAAAAATTATGGAAACGAGTATAGCCGAGCGGCTATAGTAAACCGTATAGCCGCTCGTCTGTACATGTTTTTTTGAAAAATTAGGACACTCGTATCGCCGACCGGCTATACTATTTTAAAAAAATTCCGGGTATCGCCGGACGGCTATACTATTTTCTTAAACAAATACCGAGTATAGCCGCACGGCGATACTATTTTATGACAAATTAAGAACAAAAACCCAGTAAAGCCGAGCGGCGATACTATTTTATTTTAAAAATTAAAAATAAAGTATAGCCGCACGGCGATACTATTTATTAAAAAAAATAACCAAAAAGAAGGCGCCCAGCGCCTAGCCGGCTATGTGTCAGCAGAGGTGGAGCCGCCCGGCTATACTATTTTTACGAAAAATTAAATTAAAATACCGAGTATAGCAGGTCGGCTGTACTATATATATATATATTGAAAAAAAGACCCGCCTAGCTTCCAGTGACAAGAAAAGAAAAGAAAAAAAACCCTCAGCAATAATCTTATCCATTTATGGGCCAAATTACAGAAGGAAGAAAACAAGGAAACACCATTTGCTAAATATGAAATAAAAGAAAAGCATATAGCATGGCAGCAACATGTTTGTTGTTTTGGATGAAGTAGCAGCAACATGTTAGATGATGAGTTATTGTCATCATCAGCCACGGTTATTGTTGAAGTTGTTTGGAAGCGAGGGCGGGGCGAGGAGGAGGAGGAGGAGGTGGAGGACCGGGAGCAGGAAGTCTCATGCCTGGTTGTTGGTTTGCAAGTGGTGATTTTGGACGAAATGGAGGTGGCCGCCGTTCTCTCAGCTCCGTATTAATTATAATAACATTCTTATCATCTGCAACTGCAAGCAACGCAATGCAACACTAACGAGTTAATATATAGAATCAGATATATGCACCAAATTAAATTAAATGAGAAATATTGACAGATACCTGCTGCTGCTGCTGCTGTGACCGGACCTAGCTGCACGGTGAACATGGCAGCTGCAACTAGAAGAACAACCACCAGCGCTCAGGCGCCTATGCGTCAAAATAAGTAGAGCCGCGCGGCTATACTATTTAGAAAAATTAATAAACCCGAGTATAGGCGCCTTATGTTTTCTAACTCTAACTGAAGGAAGGGGAGAGAGAAAGAAGATGTCAATGAATAAAACAGAGGTAAGAGAAGATGAAAAGTAAATAGAATAAAAACAAAAGATTTCTTTTATTTTTATTTTTAATTCTCATTTCGTGTACTATTTCACATCTTTCTCTCCGAAAAGTCTTCAACGGAGGCATAGAAAATGCCACCATCTCTCACATTGTGAATTTAGGACCCTCAACCATTGTGAGTTCCGACTGAAAAAGAAGTCATATGCTCTGTTTTTCTTCTAGGACGCCGGTAAAAAAACCTTGAAGGGTGTATCACTTGTGTCTCTGCGGAAACAGATTAGCAGAGCTTTTTGGACAATACCAAATGGTCCAAACAAAGATATCATGCCATGGATAACTGTGGCTAATCATGTCATTTATAAACTCCTTAATCGCTTAGCCAAAATGAGAGTGATCAAGACAAGTGAAAAGCCACATCTGGGTGGGATGAAAATTGAAAAATAAAAAATTATCATGGTCAACCATAAAGCAACCGATCAGTGAACAACTAACTGTGCAAAAAATACAAGATACACAACAGCTCTCCGGCGTTCAGAAATATAAGTTGGCTTGTCTGCAAGTTATATGTGCTAGGGGTAGAAAATGCCAACGTTTAATCAATTTTCTAACCAATTCAAAGTTCCTAAACTGTTAGACAACCATTAGTCCCAAAAGTTAGGACACGCAAATTCACGTCACGTGCACCATACAAACTAGTAAGGAAATGCGGAATAGCAACTGAACTTAGGACCACTTGCAAAGTATATGATACCATTTCAAAAGCTTAGGGTGTTGGACAAATAATGTATATCAAACTTGCAGCAAGCAAATATGCAATGCAAGAACAAAATGATGAAAACTTGAAAAACAAAATTGAAGTAAAAACTAAAGATCCAATATCTCAACTCTAACTGGAGCAAACTAATATAATAATGAAATCACAAAATCATATTAAGTTTCGACGAGAGTTGCGTTAGATTGGCGGGGATGTCGTTTACTTGCATAACGAAAAAATGATGCTTGACTCATACATTTGTTAATTAATTAGCTGCATAGATTTAGCCGTCGTCAAGCATGCATAATTAATAATCAAATGACTCTGAGCAGCCTTTTTATAACTAATTAGGTAAATAACGTCTTGCGGATCAATCTATGCTTAAAAGCCTCAAACCCCACTAATACTTAGATACCAAGGCCAAGCCGTGAAACAAAAAGCCAAGTCTATGACATGTGTGTGCAAAAACTAAGGTCCTGTCCACAAAGTTTAACTACCCTAGAAAGAAACGTTTGTCTTAGTCTCCTTACTTTGGCAAGAATCCCATGCTAAACTTGTCTCGAGTTCACCAAGAGTACGTGGGAACAATAATAGCACAAATATTTTTCTTGATTTCCCCCACACCATTTTTCATAACTTGTATATAAATGCTTTAGAAAGCATGCAAAAGTTTCAACACACTCAAACACAACACAAGATTTCCACACACAAACACTCTTGGCTACACTTGCTCACAGCCAGCCTTAGCATAAAATAGTTAAGAGACTCATAGAAGAGAAAAGAAAAGAGAATGACTAGCGCAGGAGTTGCTGGGATGATGTTTCAGTGTGTGTTTGAAGGAAGCCTGTCAATGAGGGACACCGAAATTGAGCGAAGGCCTTACCATAAGAACTGCAGTTGTGCTCTGCACAAGTCCAAAGGGGGTGCTTGCTCGAATGCTTGTCAAAGGAACATATCCTTTCCCAAGAAACATTCATGGAGTGATGGTTCCTTGTGCATGCAGGCAACAGCTTCTTCCAAATTCTCTTCTCCTCCCATAGACAACATCTCCCTGTCCACTTCCACATCCACAGGAAACAGAGGAAGTGTCAGTGGTGTTCTAAATCCGGCCTCATCACATAGACAATAGACAGACACCTTTCAGAGTCTAGCTTGATACGACGATTACAGGTGAGTTAGAAGAAATTAAAAAGATTAATTAGGAAGTGAGAAGCAATTTTAATTGTTAGTTTCTCGTGCACTAGTTACTCAATATCAAATTGATTTTGAGGAATTATTTCTTCCACCACAGTCCATGTAAATTCTACTGAGTACATATTCCACCTGTAATAAAACATTGTCACATTTCTCTCAGATTTGAATACAATTGTCTGAAACTACAACATGCCCTCTCTTCCCCATTCTACACTCTACTATTTCTTTACATAACATTCTAGATTCTATACAATCTTCAAATATACAATTAATGTATGTTGTGAACATCGTTTCAGCTCTAGAACAGTACAAGTCAATAGCATTTTTTAGCCAAGCAAAGTTGTTTTGTTTTGGTTTCCATTTTGACTTTTCTTTTCTAGTGTCCCTTGTGTTGCAACAAAGTTGCCAAGATCAAATTCATCATTAGTTAGCTCGCATAGATACCCTCAAACGAAGAAGATGGAATCTCCTGATCACTTTGATAAAGTTTTTCTTGTTGTTTCCTGTTTTCTAACTAGAACTGACGTAAGAGAAGATGTCAATAAAAAATAAAAATAAAAACAGAGGTAAGAGAAGAAATATTAAAATATTTTCATTTTCATTTAAAAATTATTTTGTACATTCTTTCACATCTTTCCCTCGAAAAAGTCTTCAATGGAGGCGGAGACAATGCAACCATCTCTTACATTGTGAGTTTCACATTGTCGCAGTGTTTTTACATCTTTGATCCCCTTTCCTTTCTCATTTTTTTTTTTTCAATCCAAAGAATAAAAATAAAAATGCCATATATATTTCTTCTTCTAGGATACCAGAAATAAAAAAAATAAAAAAATCTTGTTTCAGATAATGTCACTTGTGTCTGTATACTGTTGGCAAGGACTGTGTCTCTATAAAAGAAGACATTTTCTGATTACCAAAAAAAAAAAGACAGTAGGATGAAATTCTATCAGCTCTTAATATGGAAATGAGACAAAAGGCAGATTACCTCCAAAAAAGAATGAAATTGATCAGTCAAACAGGACAAGTATCCTTGGACAAACCAAATGCAATTCAATTTGTGCAGAATGTTGCTTAAACGCACAGAAAGACAATGTGGAAAAATGAGAAATGATGCTCACTTTTATAATATGCATTCCCAACAGCACTTCCTTCCTCCCAATTTAAGTTTTCTTCTGCTATAAACGACGAAATTGCAAGATCATATCAGAATATGTGGCTACTCAGTTGTTTATTGTATCGAACTATAACTTCGAGCTAGACAAAGATATCAATTCAAGAGTCAGCCTTAGTGGCAACTGGGGAAATCTCAATTGTACGTACAAAACTATATGTGCTACGAGTACCAAATGCCAAAGCTGGATTTAATTCTCGAACTAATTCACTGCTTCAACTATTAGACAACCACTTGCCCCAATAACTTAAAATCCCAGACGTGCAAATCCGTCATGCATGCGGAGAGCCACATGAGAAGAGAGAGACAAACATATAGGTGCGGCTCCACTGTGCACCTTAGAAACCAACAAAGAGGTGAGAAACGTGGAAAGCAAATATGCAAAGCAAGAACATTGGATAAAAACTTGAAAAACCAACTTACAGTAAAAAATAAAGATTCATCATCTCACCTCTAAGTGGAGAAGGCTAATATAATAATGAAAGCACAAAATCATGTTAAGTGTGCAAGTCAGTGATTGGCAGGACAATAACTTGTATAACGAAAAGTGATGCTTGACCCAGACATGTATGTTAGTTGCATAGTGTTAACCGCCAAACATTCCTAATAATAAAAGGAGCAGCCTTTCTAACTAGTTAGGTAAATAACGTCTCTGCGGATCAATCTAAGCTAACAATAAACCGCACCAATAGTATACTTATTATAGATACCAAAGCCGAGCCGCAAAAACAAAAAGCCAAGTCGAGTATTTCATATTTCTCTGTCTCATTCTGTGGGAAAATTAGAGCCCTGTTCACAAAGATGAACTCTCCCTAGAAGAAAACGCTTGTCTTGCTCTTTTTTCCACTTTGCCAAGAACCCCATTACTAATTAAACTTGTCTTGAGTTCAAAACGGGTACGTCAAGGCAATAGCACAAACATACTTTCTTGATTTCCCCCACACCTAATTTATCATACATTACTCCCCTTTTCTATTTAAATGCTTTAGAAAGCATGCAAAAGTTTCAATACACTCAAACACAACACACAATTGCCATACACAGAACACTTAGCTACACTTGCTCACAGCCAGCCTTAACATAAAATAGTTGAGAGATTCAGAGAAGAGAAAAGAAAAGAATGACTAGCGCAGGAGTTGCTGGGATGATGTTTCAGTGTGTGTTTGAAGGAAGCCTGTCAATGAGAGACACCGAAATTGAGCGAAGGCCTTACCATAAGAACTGTAGTTGTGCTCTTCACAAATCCAAAGGGGGTGCTTGCTCGAATGCTTGCCAAAGGAACATTTCCTTTCCCAAGAAACATTCATGGAGTGATGGTTCCTTGTGCATGCAGGCAGCAGCTTTTTCCAAATTCTCTTCTCCTCTAGTCGGCGACATGTCTACGTCCAGTTCCACATCCACAGGAAACAGAGGAAGTGTGAATGGTGTTCAAAATCCGGCCTTGTCACATGGACAATAGAAAGACACCTTTCGAAGGCTAGCTATGATTATACGATGATTACGGGTGAGTTAGAAGAAACTAATTAGCAAATGAGAA